ATCTGTTACATTGACAGTATGTGATTTGACATCTGTGACATTGACAGGAAGGGAGTTGACATCTGTGACACTGACAGTAAGGGAGTTGACATCTGTCACATTGATAGTATGGGAGTTGACATCTGTGACATTGACAGCAAGGGAGTTGACATCTGTGACATTGACAGTAAAGGAGTTGACATCTGTGACATTGACAGGAAGGGAGTTGACATCTGTGACATTGATAGTAAGGGAGTTGACATCTGTGATATTGACAGTATGTTAGTTGACATCTGTGACATTGTGAGTAAGGGAGTTGTCATCTGTGATATTGACAGTATGGGAGTTGACATCTTTGACAGGGACAGTATGGGAGTTGACATCTGTGACATTGATAGTATGGGATTTGACATCTGTGACACTGACAGTGTGGGAGATGTCATCTGTGACACTGACAGTAAGGGAGTTGACATCTGTGGCATTGATAGTATGGGAGTTGACATCTGTGACACTGACAGTGTGGGAGATGACATATATGACATTGACAGTAAGGGAGTTGACATCTGTGACACTGACAGTAAGGGAGTTGCCATCTGTGACATTGACAGAATGGGAGTTGACATCCGTGACATTGACAGTATGGGAGATGACATCTGTGACACTGACAGTGTGGGAGATGACATCTATGACATTGACAGTATGGGAGATGACATCTATGACATTGACAGTATGGGAGATGACATTTATGACATTGACAGTAAGGGAGTAGACATCTGTGTCACTGACAGTAAGGGAGTTGACATCTGTGACATTGATAGTATGGGAGTTGACACCTGTGACACTGACAGTGTGGGAGATCACATCTGTGAAACTGAAAGTGTGGGAGATGACATCTGTGACACTGATAGTAAGGGAGTTGACATCTGTGACACTGACAGTAAGGGAGTTGACATCTGTGACATTGACAGTATGATAGTTAACATCTGTGACATTGACAGTATGGGAGTTGACATCTGTGACATTGACAGTATGGTAGCTGAAATATATAACATTGCCAGTAAGGGAGTTGACATCTGTGACATTGACAGTATGGGAGTTGACATATATGCATCGACAGTAAGGGAGTTGACATCTGTGACACTGACAGTAAGGGAGTTGACATCTGTGAGACTGGCAGTATGGGAGTTGACATCTGGGACACTGACAGTAATGGAGTTGACATCCGTGACATTTACAGTAAAGGAGTTGATATCTGTGACATTGACAGTAAAGGAGTTGACATATATGCATCGACAGGATGGGAGTTGACCTTTATGACATTGGCAGTATGGGAGTTGACTTATGACATTGACAGGTATGGGAGTTGACATCTGTGACACTGACAGAAAGGGAGTTGACATCTGTGACATTGATACTATGGCAGTTGACATATGTGACATTGATAGTATGGGAGTTGACATCTGTAACACTGACAGTGTGGGAGATGACATCTGTGACACTGACAGTAAGGGAGTTAACATCTGTGACATTGACAGTATGGGAGTTGACATCTGTGACACTGACAGTAATGGAGTTGACATCTGTGACATTTACAGTAAAGGAGTTGATATCTGTGACATTGACAGTAAAGGAGTTGACATATATGCATCGACAGTATGGGAGTTGACCTTTATGACATTGACAGTATGGGAGTTGACTTATGACATTGACAGTATGGGAGTTGACATATATGACATTGACAGTATGGGAGTTGACATCTGTGACATTGACAGTATGGGAGTTGACATCTGTGACATTGACAGTATGGGAGTTGACATATATAACATTGACAGTATGGGAGTTGACAGCTGTGACATTGCCAGTATGGGAGTTGACAGGGGTTTATTTAATCTGTTATATTTCACCACGGGGTTTATTAAATCTGTTATATTACATCACAGGCTTTATCAAATCTGTTATATTTTACCACAGGGTTTCATTAAATCTGTTATATTTCACCACAGGGTTTATTTAAACTGTTATATTCGACAACAGGGTTTATTAAATCTGTTATATTACACCACAGGGTTTATTTAAACTGTTATATTTCATCACAGGGTTTATTAAATCTGTTATATCTCACCACAGGGTTTATTAAATCTGTTATATTTCACCACAGGGTTTATTAAATCTGTTATATTTCACCACAGGGTTTATTTAATCTGTTATATTCCACAACAGGGTTTATTAAATCTATTATATTTCACCACAGGGTTTATTAAATCTGTTATATTTCACCACAGGGTTTATTAAATCTGTTATATTTCACCACAGGGTTTATTAAATCTGTTATATTACACCACAGGTTTATTTAATCTGTTATAATTTACCACAGGGTTTATTTAAACTGTTATATTTCACCACAGTTTTTTTTTTAAAATATGCATACAGACATTGTTGATTGTCACAGGTTTTATTATGAAATGCATACACATGTTCTTTGAAACACTACCAAGTGGATTGCAAGACAGAAATTTCAGTGTCAGAATAAAAATACAAAAAATTTAGTTTTAAGCAGGAATTTGCAATACATGTTATATGGAATGAATTTGGCTTTGGTTGTCCCAGCACAATATCTAAGGGAAATCTCTGTTTTAGTAAATCAAAACTCTCAGTTTAAAGTAGGTAAGTATCAAGAAAATAATTTGATTAAGATAAAACATTATATATGGAAATCTGTGACCTTAATTGGAATTAAGATACAGATAATGATTAGTATAACAATTCAATTTCTGTTACTCAATATGAGTAAAATACCATTGAAAACATATTTTTGTTTCCCATGTAGATAGGAAGACAGTTAACATGAGTGATATGACTACTATATAATAATAGTGCTATATTTGTACAGTACCTAGGACAGCTGAGAAGAAATGACATTGGTGAAAAAAATAAGGCTGTTACTGTTTGTAACCCGTTTACCAATTATAAACTGGATTGTCGTCTGATAACTGTATATAATAATATGGGAAACACCATCACATCCTAAATTGTAAGATGGTACTTTTTCATGGTATGTTATAAAAATTCAAATTCTTTATGATCCTTATTTCACATTTGAAAAAAACAATCATACCTCAATTTACACCTGTTACAGTGAATAAAAATGAATGACATCTTCTGAAGCTCAACCAATGAACAATACAGCCATGACACACATAGGCAGCACTAGTAATGGGTAAGAAATATTTCTGTCTGGTTACATTTACAACCAGTGTATACATATTGTATTCTTTGAGACAGAAGTTTTTTTTATCACATAATGTACCGTGTTATCCAGTGAATATACCCACGTCATATTTTTGTGTGTTTTAACCCATGTAATATGACCTATCAGTCCTGTGATTGGTTGAAAGTTTCAATTGTTTAAAATGTGATGTCACGCCTCGGACAAGTACATGACGTCATAGACCTATGCACTGGAGTCAAAATGGCGGCTTTTTACATTTCAAGGTTGCATGAAAATTGTCGTTTTACACGAATAAATGCCACAAATCGTATGTGTTAAAAATGATCTTACACTCGTTTTCATTTCATATATGAAATTTATGAAACTTGTCACGAATTTTTCATTCTAGCTCACAAGAGGATGCTAAATTGAAAAAAATCTTAAAACTCATTTCATAAATCTCATATGAAATGGAAAGTCATGCAAGATCCTATATATGTTGTCCTTTTGTTGGCATTCTTACAATAAGCTTATTAAATGAGTGTTACTTTTAACTTCAGGTCAAATAAGAAAATTTGGTATATTTTCAATGAATATCACTGACATATCATAATCAGCCTGTAACACTCTCAAATATCAAAGCATTGCATGTACATCGCACATTCATTCTCGAGGAAGCACAAATTGAATCAAAAAAATATAAAAACTTACATGAAAGGCTTACATGAACAAAAAGAAAAGTTTCTTCAGTCCACAATACTGACGATGTGTTCCTGCTTTTGGTATAAAATCTAAAAGCATTACTGACATTGCGGAAATGCATTTAAAACCAATCACACAGCATTACCTACAGGATGACACTGAAATAATCACATTATACCTTTCCATATGCTTCAAATTCCCGTACCAAACTATCTGGATTTCTATTGATAGACATATATATATATAGGACAGGTCTACAATCAAATCCAGGGATTCTCAGAATTTACCTTGCCCTGGCATGAACAGTCAAAATATATATCCAGACCACAACTATATCTTTGACCTTTTCTCATAGACAAATGAGCTGCATAGTTTAAAAGGTGATAGGAATTAGGACTTAATGTGATAGAATTGATTTTTTTTTAACATTCTTGCCCTATTCCTAAATTACATAACTTTTTGATATATGAAAATAACACATAATGCATTTCTTTCAAATGATGTAAATATTACCAAAACCCTCAAGAACTCATATTTTTGACTTATTTGACAACATGACACAAACCTCTATTTACAAACGTTACTCAAGATGTTTTCATATAAAGAACACTTTGTATGATATTTGATAAATATTAGTTAACAAATACAACATGTGTTATCATTTAGGCTTTATTTGTATGGAAACCAGGTATCAGACTTTTGGAAGGTGGGGTGGCACAGTGGATAATGAATTCACCTTTCACCAAGACAGCCTGAGTTTGATTCCCCGATCGTTCTTTCTCCCATAATAACACCACCCATCTCCACCATGTGCTCACATCCGGCCAGCAAGAGTGATACATATAAGTTTAAAAAACATGTTTTATAACTGTTGTAAAATAAATAAATTGTATACAGATTTTAGATCCAAAACGCAAAGCTGTACAACAAATTATAGAATATGTGCAATACGGTGACAGTAAACATCCCTGAATGAAGGCTTCCACGATGCCTATAGTGTAAGCCATCAGATACTTGAGATACATTACCTACTTTCTATAAGATGATTGATCCCTACTATGTAACTTTGTGATTTTATGCCATGTTACTGTATACTTTTTGAAATGTATCAATGCAATTCTCGTCAAATATTTCATGAGTATTTCCATTTATCTTTATGTCATACATCTTGATGACTACAAGGCAATATAATATTCACCATGACAACAAGGAAACACAAGCAGCATCGTGACAACAAAGTATAGCACAATGGTTATCATGACAACAAAGTATAACACAATGGTTATCATGACAACAAAGAAGCACAATCATCACCATGACAACAAATATGGTACAACCATCACCATGACAACAAATATGGTACAACCATCACCATGATAACAAAGTATTACAATGGTAATCATGACAACAAAGTATAGCACAATGGTTATCATGACAACAAAGAAGCACAATCATCACCATGACAACAAAGTATGGTACAACCATCACCATGATAACAAAGTATAGTACAATGGTAATCATGACAACAAAGTATAGTACAATGGTTATCATGACAACAAGGTATAGCACAATGGTTATCATTACAACAATGAAGTACAATCATCACCATGACAACAAAGTATGGTACAACCATCACCATGACAACAAAGTATAGTACAATGGTTATCATGACAATAAGGTAGTACAACAAAGTAATGACAACAAGGCACATGTAATACAATCATCACCATGACAACAAGGTTGTTTAAGCATCATTGGAGAGTTATTTGTAGTCAGTATAGTCCGACAGAGTCCTGAATCTGCTCAAAGTATGGCCTGCCTAAGGGCATGAAGTATCGACGCTCTGTCGGAATGTTATCACACTGCAATGGAAACATGGCCATTTACCATCAAGTGAAATGGAAAGACATCCTTGTATTACCTTATACAGCTGAAAAATACTCATTTGTCAGCTACAAGTTATACAGTAGCAACACACCAATCTAGTATCTACAGTATATGTAGCACAGTGACATACCCCTGTATCTTCTAATACAGTGGGGGAAACATTAACACCTAGTGTAGTGTTTTCAAATCAAGATCTCTCAAACATAAAATTAATCATGATCTACATAGCAGGCTTAACCCAAAACACAGAACATTGAGCTTTGTTGCTAAACATGTGACTAACTAAGCTTTTAACATTTATCTAAATCACTGGATAGCTTGTAATAGAATTGTCTAAAATGTTAATATCAAGGACTGAATTAAGGCAGATTTAAATTAAATAACACTTTTCAAGAACTTCAAGATACTTTAATTACCCGACATACACAAATCAAAACGAATAATAAAACCAGTCATAAATAAACTTTTCAAATGTGACACAGTTCAGTTTTACTTGACTTTTAGAACGATTATACTAAACATTATACTAAACATTATACTAAACACTACACTAAACATTATACTAAACATTACACTAAACATTATACTAAACATTAGGACATACGTACGTTGGAATAAGTTGCATTGTGCCTTGCATTGACAACTGAAGCAACTTTCCGCTTTTTCTTTTTGGCATATGTATCGAATTCGTCCTTTTGCCAAGGTTTTAGACGTAATTTTCTGTCAACAGGAAACAAGTGGCCTTCTGTGCTGAACAGGTACTTTGACTGCTCCCTGTTAACGTGGTTGTCTTTGTCAAACAACTGTAAGTAAAAAATATTAACAATAACGAGTTTCACAATAACTGTACACGTGGAATCATTTGTGGAACCCTTGGCTAGTTCCTTCATCTCATATGATTTCTTTTTATTCAAAGTATAATATCTGAGCACGACCCTGAGGTTATCAAACAGAAGATTTAACTAGATGTGATCACCAGTTAACCGGAATGATATCGGTCCAACTGTTCACTCTATCAAGAAGAATCTTTCTGCTTCGGAATACAATTCAACATGTGTATCAGAGGCAAGTAGTCTAGTGGTAGGACGCCGAGCTCATGACGAAAGGGTTGCAGGTTCGAGTCGTGTCACGGCACCGTGTTGTATCTTTGAGCAAGATACTTTACTCCGCTTCTTCCAGTCTACTCAGCTGTAAATGAGTATGTGGTTGGGCAGAGCTAGAATTGTTGAATGCTAGCTATGAGCGCCGAAATGGCAGCACTGGCTGTATTCTCCCCCAGGGAGTTGAGAAATATATTGGCTGGTTGCAAAGGCCCTATAACCACGGATAATAATTTGTGAACCGCTTTGAGACGACCTACGAACTAGGTTGTGATAAAGCGGTATATATAAGAAACTCAAATTATTATTATTATCATCAATTCCATTCATCTATACAATGAACTATTAATTGCGTAAGATCTCCTTAGATTACATTCCTTGAGGCAAAGAGAGTAAAATTCCGGCTAGGTCTTATATATATGCTGACTTCTAAATACAGGTGTCAAGTGACTTGCCAATTTTCATTTCAGTAATTGATTCATTTGATTCCAAGTGGTCAGAAATTATCATTTCACAATGAGAGTTACATTTAAGTAATGCAAAATAGAAAATTTGGAATGTTTCAATAATCTAGCAGAATTCCACCCTTCAGACAATGTCAGACAATACTTACCAGATACAGATATTTACAAGTCTCGCTGAGGAAAAAGCTCTCCATGCGGTCCTCAAGAGATTTAGTATTCACATCATGAACAGTGCCATACCCACACCTGTGAACATGCATAAAAGATGAAATTATCTTCCAAACCTGTGAAACACTTTGAGTGTTTCTCCCAAAAAGCCATTGCAGAGGCCCATGGGCTTAACCACAGGTCACCATAACTGTTGGCGGTTTCTCAGCAGAGAGAGGCTTTTGAAGATTAAACCGACCTATTTTGCTATATTCTGAGCCCTGCAGGACCTACCCCATCCCCATATTCCAGAGGATTACTCCCTTGATTTATACAATATTGTCTCTTTCCTACTGATGTTAAGGTAGCAGTGTTCAGTAGAAATGGCCCGACTCTGATAAACAAGGCACTAGTCGAGGAAATGTAAACACAGCGGATTTACCCTACACAACACATGCATACATGTATATATATTTGTAAACTGCATAACGTTTACAATACATATAAAGTACTGAGAAGTGTATAAACCTATTTTTTCTATGTATGTCACTTGTGTGAAACCCAAAATTTGACCCCCGCAACTAGTATTTTTTATCTTAAGTTCTGTCTAAAATTAATGATTACCTATACCTGGTTGCAGAATTATCTGGGTCCCAGTAAAGTTGTAAAACTTGATTTTTTTGCAATTTTGCGTCGTGTGCTGTTGTCAAAATTTTACCTCCTGTAAAGCTAGCTTTTCATGTGTAGGCACCCTTTCGGATTATGGCCAAAATTTTATTCTCGAACCAAAACAATCTTCTTTTTTTTTTATAAATGTGAAGCTCACATAGCCCACTTCATCATGCTTATACCAATTTTAGTACAGTTGTATTTTTATATTTTTTGTACACATCATTATACAGGGGTTAGCCATTTAACAAAAATACCACCCATGGCCACAACCCTCTACTGTATACTGCTACCTAAATTTAGTAAAACTTCATCTAGGTTTTCAATAAAAAATGGGTTTATGAAGGCTGAAAACCTTTAATTTACCCTTATTTGGTCTGGCTTTCAATCCTAAGGAAGACTACATCCTTTTTTATACAATGTTTGATCCCCTGGTATCATGGATACAGTACATTAAATGTTGTTGAAATCCAAGCAGATGTGACAGAGGATAAGGTTGATGGATAAAGTGCAAAAATTGGCCATACGGTAAATCTCTGGTCAGATCGAACAAATTAAACAAAATATTGTCAATCCTGTTTGAATTACTCAAAATCATAGCCGCTAAAATAAAGAGTAGTTCGAACTATCCCAGTCAACATTGGCAAACAAAAATCATGGCAAACAGTCAAATCGTTGTTACGGAACAATGACGGCCTATTGCGATATATATTTGCAAATCTAGAGATGAATAATTGTATATATATCTTTCTTATATTTACTTGCATATTAATAATCTGTTATTAAGTTCAATCGCAAAGCAGAGACAAGTATGTAGGTCGCAAAGCGGTAGATGTTTTCTCAGGTTTGACGGAAGTTCAATTGTAATGTATCAGAATGTGGAGGGTGGATTTAAACTGCAATTACGGATTAATAGTTCGATCGACCACCTGGTCAAATCTTTTTGTTTTGGTACACGTAGAGGTAATATATCAATTAAGTAATAAATCAGGGATCAGTGGCCAGGTCCCGATTATATAATCAAATTGTACTCACAGTAATATCATGACAATACACATATCTGTCAGCGATGTGACCTAACATTCCGCGCTCCGTGTACTGTAAGGATATTATAAATGGTCAGGGAGGAAATTATCACTAGTAAAACATAAAATTATTATTGTTATTATTCAAAAAGTGTGTTTGAACTATCTGCCTATTCGAAGTGACCGGAGGTTTACCGTAGGTCATTTTGATCCTGCAAGTGAGATGACTTTATTATTTGGTCAATTAGGTAAGGTCTGGACACTCACTTGGCCTTGGCATGCTCGTCTATACTGTTGAAGATGTCACGGCCCACATGGAGGTAGAAAGGGTTCTTGGTGGCCTGGTACAATAGGTAGGTGGACTCCACCAGTTCTGGTCGCAGTGGGTAAAACAGCACATCAGGAGCTTTTAAGTGCCAGTTATATCGCTCAGGTAAAAACCCATACTTTTGCCAAATGGAATAGAAAAGTGCATGTGAACAGATGGCCTCCTCTATATCTCCCTTCAGTACCTGTAATAGATAAAGGTACATGTATAAACATGAACTAAGACTCTCTATATTCTCTTAAGGTTGTTTATGGAGGATTTCTTGATTACTTTGGATTAGATGGCTTATAATGAACCATTTAAAAAACATTACCTACCTGTACATGTGTTATAATGTACCTGTAGACCAGCCTTTACCTACCTGTACATGTGTTATAATGTACCTGTAGACGAGCCATTAACTACCTGTACATATGTTATAATGTACCTGTAGACCAGCCACTACCTACCTGTACACATGTTATAATGTACCTGTAGACCAGTCTTTACCTACCTGTACATATGTTATAATGTACCTGTAGACCAGTAATTACCTACCTGTACATGTGTTATCATGTACCTGAAGACCAGTAATTACCTACCTGTACATATGTTATAATGTACCTGTAGACCAGCCATTACCTACCTGTACATATGTTATAATGTACCTGTAGACCAGCCTTTACCTTCCTGTACATATGTTATAATGTACCTGTAGACCAGCCATTACCTACCTGTACATATGTTATAATGTACCTGTAGACCAGCCTTTACCTTCCTGTACATATGTTATAATGTACCTGTAGACCAGCCATTAACTACCTGTACATGTGTTATAATGTACCTGTAGACCAGCCTTTACCTACCTGTACATGTGTTATAATGTACCTGTAGACCAGCCATTACCTACCTGTACATGTGTTATAATGTACCTGTAGACCAGCCTTTACCTACCTGTACATATGTTATAATGTACCTGTAGACCAGCCATTAACTACCTGTACATATGTTATAATGTACCTGTAGACCAGCCACTACCTACCTGTACATGTGTTATAATGTACCTGTAGACCAGCCATTACCTACCTGTACACCTGCCCAAGCAGCCTGAAGGGAGTCTATCCAGTTGTTGAAGGTTATGCCTGTTTTCATGTTTACATTCACATAGATAGGAGGATAGCCATTTCCATAATTGCATCTTTGTCTCCTGGAGAAAAACACAAAATTACTGTACCTATTTAAAATACCTAAGCAAGAAAGAAATATATATATACAGACAGCATAAGGTGATCCAAAGATTATTGACATTTCAATTTCATGGACATTAACTTTAATGTTATAGTGATTATTTAATCCCTTTTCATTATATTTTGTAATTTTTGTATGGAAAGTTATATGTGTTAGTCTAGCATTGGTAGATAAGAGGTCGTTTTGTTAATTTATGATACATAAGTTTAGTTAACATAACTGCATACTTGGTAACATTTATTGCACACATTTTATCACAGCAAATGATAGCAGAAAATGGTAGATCTGCATTTAGTAGTTCACTAAAAATGCCACTTAAGCTGGGTGCCAAAGATTATGTTACATACTAAATTCCACACTTCCTTATATTTCACTGTGAAAAATATTGATATTGTGCCATACTTATGAATATATGTATAATTTTTCTTAACATATATATGGTATTCAATGGCAAACCATTGAACAGAATGTATATCAAATTCAGCGCAGTGATAAGAGGGATTCTTTTTATAGCCTTATGACCCGGATTAAACATTCTGGCTCCAAAAAAATAAAGATAGCAACGAAGGAAAGCAGTAATTCCTGGATAAATATAATATATTTAGCTAATGATAAAATCGTTATCCTTTAGAGACTTACCCTCTCCTCATGTGAAATTTTATAGTTTCATAAGACTCATTAAACATTTTCAGGTCCTCATCCTCACCGAACATTATAAACGTCTGAAGAAAGAGAACATACTGTTCTTAGAAAAAAAATCATCATTCAATCTGCCTTCTATTTTATATTTCTCTTAGATTTTTTTTTCTCGATGAGTATTCAAAATAACACAGGTGTACTGTATACCGGAAAATTAAGTTTCCCATATTTTAAATTCTGCCCTCCACAATGAGAGTGAATTCACCATTAAGACACATCACAGCACATTTAGTAGTTCCATAAAATAAGATGCACTTGACAAATATTTATGTACTAAATCAGCTGTAAATTGCAAGTACTTTCGCTGGACGAAAGTTTACCAACATTTAGGCAGTATGTGCTTTGTCTGGATCTTGTAACTATTTGTCTAACCAAATATATTGAGACATAACCATAGCATATGTATTGATAAATCACCAATTTTGTTCTGCCAATATAAACCACATTGTGAAGTGAAAACTTTATTTAAAGTAAAACATAACAGAAAGAACTATTCACCTAAAATTAAAAAATAAATACACACTGTGTCACAGGCTACAAAGTCTTTTTATATATTACATGTATTTAAATGTCAAATGCATCCTGACTTGGAAGAATTAAATTAAACAAATATATTAATCCATGTTATAGGTGCCAAGTATCAATGACCATGATAAACAATCAATTATTTTATTTCACTCGAATAATGTACCTTCAGTAAATATTCAAAGAAGGAGTCTAGTCCAGCACCCAGGCCACTCATCTCACCCACCCATTCTCCTGTCTGTACATTGATAACATGACCTACAATCAAGGGCAAGCATTGAGTTAAACAAACAATCGGTATTAATTAATCAATTTATGCCTCAAATATTATTATTAAGTACTATTAATGGGGTTGAATTTTTAAAGTTTTTATCATATGAAATATTTAAAGATTTTTTTTTGTGTGTTTGTGTTAGGCGTGTGTGTGTGTG